AATAATTTGTAATAGCCAAATCTTGGAAACAATCCAAATGCCCATCAACAGAAGAATGGATAAAAAAGATGTAGTCTTTCTATACAATGGAGTACTACTACTCATAAAGAAGGATAAATTTGAGACTTTTATAGGTAAATGGATGCAACTCAAGACCATACTCATTAGTGAAATAAATCAGACTCACATGTGTAAACATCATATTGTCTCTCTGGCGGGAGAAACTGAAAGAGAAATTCTAAAATGCAAAATAGACACTGTGAAATGGGAAGAAATTGTTCAAAAGGAAAAAGTACTTAGAATAGGTGAAAGAACAGTAGGAAAAAGGGAAAAAATGAAAGTCAATTATACTATTAGTGTCTCTTACTTCATTAAAAAGGTTTGCACTAATATTGATTGGAGAAATTTTTTTTTGTACCCTGAACAACTACTGTAAAGATAAGTACATATAATGTATTAACTATTGTTATTCTATTATTTTGTTATGAAATTTTGTTTTACCTTTTCTCTACAAAAGAAAAAAGAAAAAAGGCTTCTTGGGTGGACATGGTAGTGCATGCATATAATCCTAGTACCTGGGAGACTGAAGCAGGATTGCTGAGAGTTTGAGGCCACCCTGAGCTACAGAAAGGCCTAAACTACACTGTGTCCTGTATCAAAAAAAAAAAAAAAAGCAAGAGAGACTCAAAAGAAAGACTCCCTGATCTCACACCTTCCACAATCTGATTCCAATCTTTGTAACCCCAATGTGCCCTGTGCAAATCCAATATTCCAGCAATACTGACTTGTTATTTCCCTCCAATACAGTCATGTGTCACATAATGTTTTGGTCAAAAATGGATCTCAAAGCCAGGTGGTGATGCACATCTTGTAATCCCAGCACTTAGGAGGCTGAGGCAGAAGGACTGCTGAGAGTTTGAGGCTGGCCTGGACTATATAGTGAGTTCAAGGCCAGCCTGATCTTCACAGCCAGACCCTGTCATAAAACAAAACAAAACAAAACAAAATGGATTATAAAAATGATGGCAGTCCTATAAAATTATAATGGACCTGAAAAATTCCTACTACCTAGTCAAGATGTAGCCACTGTAACATCCTAATGCATTACTCACATGTTGGTGCAGATGCTGATATAAATGAACCTATTGTGCTGCAAGTCTTATAATTATGCACAATATGTAATATTTGACAATGATAATCATGTTACTGGTTTATGTATTTGCAAGTTCACTGTTAGTTTCAAATATATTCTATTTATAGCAGCCTCATATATCTTGTTTCAAATATATTCCATTTATAGCAGCCTCATATATCTCTTGATTGCATTAAGGTATAGTGGCTGACTTAAATCATCTAAGCTTGTGTAAGTACAGACTGTATTTACACAATGATGAAATTATCTAATAATGTATTTCTTAAAATCTGTCCCTGTTGTAAAGGGGTGCATGACTTTACACAAACTTTTTTGTCTAGTATACTATTACCTCTGTCTACCTAAGGTCTAACTTAATGGCCACCTCTTGATTTATGTCTCTAAACTATAGAGCATTTCACTCATATTTTCAGATCTCCTACACATTTTATATCCTATATGGATTAAGTTCCATGTTCTATACCTTGTCCACTAGGATCTCCCCAAGTGCTTGGTAGCTGGTAAGTGTATATACCCCAAAGTTCATGTAGAATCATTAATCCCCTGGAGAAAGGTCCTTTAGGGAGGTAATGAAGGTTAAATGGAGGGCAAAGCAGGGCATGGTGGCACACAGCTATAGTCCCAGCTACTGGTGAGGATGAGGCAAGAGAACTGGAGTTTAGGAACGGTCTGAGCAATACAGCACCTAGCAACATAGCACCTGGGTACCTGAACAACATAAGACCCCTCTCAAAAAAAAAAAAAAAAGCTGGATGTGATGGTGCATGTGTATAACCACTACATTCTGGGAGGCTGAGGCAGGAGGATCACAAATTCAAGCTCATCTAGGGAATTTAGCAAGACCCTGTTTCAAAATAAATAATGATAATAATAACAAAGGGCTGGGAATATAGCTCAGTACAAAGGCGCTGGGTTCAATCCCCAGTACTGCAAATAAATAAACAATGTACTCGATAGAACTGGTGTCCCTGTCAGAGAAATTCCTTTTCCTCTCTGTACAGCATAGAGAAGCAATCATGTGAGAAGACAATGAAAAAATGCCATCTTCAACCAGAAAGAGGCCTCACCAGGGATCAACATCAGCCTCCAGAACTGTGAGAAAATAAATTTCCAGTTGTTTAAGGCACTCTGTCTGGAGTATTTTTGTACAGCAGCCCTGGCCAACTAGTACCCAATAAACTGTTGAATAAAAGTTAAAATGGATTCTAGGCACTCAGAATTAAACATTTTTTTGTACTTTATTTCACTTTGGAAAGGTATTTTCTAGAAGTGCTAATTTTTAAGTTGGAAAAACTTTCAGAGGCTTAAAACACTAAAAGCTTTTAAACTTTAATACAAAACTATATGGGAAAAAACCAGAACAACTGTGAAGGAAGACAGGAGGACAGAAGAAGGTCTAAGAAGAGGCATGAGGAAACTTTTGAAGGTGATAACATCAGTCTCTGTTGATGGATATTTGTGTTACAGGTATATGTCTTTGTCAAACTCTTTGACCAGTACTCCTAAAGATTTGTGCATTTCACTGTATGCAAAATTTACCTCTCCAAAATAGTAAACAGATACTGAACTCTAGTTAATGATATGCATGCTGACATATTTAGGAGTAAAGCATACTGATGCTTGCAATTTACTTTAAAATGCACCAAAAAAAAAGGTAGACTGTTGGATGGACTGAAAGATGGATAAATGGATACAGAAAAAGCAAATATAGCAAATTATTAATTGTAGAAATGTAGATGGTACATAGACATACATTATACATTTCTTTCAACTTCTCTAAAATTTTTTGAACATTTTCATAATTCTGACTAAAATCTACCTAATCTTTAAAATTAAAAAAAAAAACAAAAACGTAATTTTGCTTCTCTTCCACGGTATTCAGAGCACTGTTTTTCACATTCAGAATGCTTACATTCAAAATCCAACAGTTCAGTAGCTTTTAAAAATATAAATTTTGATTAATACCCTGTGAAAATACCAAGCATGTAATTTCACCAAATTCATCTAAATTTAAACGTCATACTAAACTTTTATTTTATTTTGTTTTTTTGAGACAGGGTCTCACTATGTACTTCAGGCTGGCCTTGAACTCTCTATGTACCCCAGACTGGCCTCGAACTCACAGCAATCCTCCTGCCTCTGGCTCCCAAGTACTGAGATTATAGCACCCTCACTTACGTTCTCGTGCCTCTAAGGCAGTAGGGGCAAATAATATTAATACCCATTTACAAGGATATTAAATATTCCTGGCATTAGGGAGGCTGTCGCAGGAGGACGGCTGAGAGTTTGAAGCTAGCCTGCGCTACACAGTAATTTCAAGGCCAGTCTGAAACAACATAGTGAGACATTATCTCAAAAAACAAAACAAATCAAAAGAACAAAAAAGGTATTCCAAGGCCAGCTTTAGAAAACCACATGTTCTGACTTCTACTTGGGATATTCTCCGTTATGAATCACACATTCAGAAAAGTCCTAGAGAAACATCCTCCAGGTTGCACTAGTGAGACTCATTTTATGATCTTTGGATGTTTTATCAGATCAAAGAGATCCTATGAAATTTGATAATTACAGGATGAAAGCAATTTTAAATGTCACTTAACACAATCTTATTTTAGAGATTCAAGTTTATTTCCAAAGGGGTTAAGTGATTAGCTCAAGATCACAAAGCTGTTAATGACAAAAGCAGTAGAAGAGCCCATAGTGGGCATCTAATTCCCTAATGAGTGCTCTTCCCTACAGCTCTTAAGACCTATTAATTATATGAGCTCATTGACTCAAGTAATGTCATTGTACCAATGTGACAAGGCCAAGACCACAAATGGGCTGGTTAACCTGGAATATTTAATAAACGTTGTAATCCAGCAGATTTTTTTCTATCCTGTGAGACATTTTTTATAAATATTTGTATTTACTGACTATATAGTGAACACATCTGAATTCAGCTGCCATTGGGCTTATCTAGAGCAGCTGAAGTGGTGGTGAAGACCCCATACAAATTCCTTGGCCAAATGCTGTTTGTTAAGTCAGTCAGTCTGTTGAGACTGTAAAGAATACCACTACCTACAAACCATTCAGAAAACAAAGGTTAGGTCAAAGACATGTGAAACGATTTTTTAACATATCTGGTTAAAAACACCATTTTAAAAGTCATGACTTTTTAATTCAACTCTGTAACTAGATGGCACGGCACTTATGCCTGCATACATAACAAATAGTTTCTTATCAATTTAATAAAAAAACCATATCTGGTTCTTGAATTCATGAGACTTTTGATGTTTGAAAATAAAAAGACATAGCCTTTTTCTTAAATGTTTCATCTTCTCCAAGAGTTAGGAAGGCAATAGCACCAGAACAGGGGTTAGAATGAAGCCTTTAAGCTTGCAAACGTTCTCTTACCAAAACAGGAAATTGTACCAAGTGTTTTGTTTTATTGAGCAATCAAGAGCTCCTTCACTTTTTTCCCTTCCCCAAAAACTCAATTTAAAAGAGGAGAGAAATACCAAGGACTGAGAATCGAGTTCGGAGAACTACCACAAGATAGCTACAATCTTTGCCCACAGAGCCAGAGTTCGGATTCACCACTGCGGAATGACCCATTTTCCCAGACAAGGCCTGGGCTGCACAGGAAGAACTATGATCCCCGAACCTCCAACCCGCACCGAGCAGCCTCGCTTCCCAAGGCCAAACTCGCGCGCCCCCATGACCTCCAATGGCTCAGAAAAAAAGAGCCTCGATCGAGCTGCCAACTTTTTCCATAACAGGCCCATACTCTCTCCAAGGCCAGAACTGCAATAGGGTCTGGGGACAAAAGTAGGGCACGCCTGTCACACGAGGAAAACCCCATCACCTGGAACTCGGCGAACTCCTCACAGTTCACACTGGCACTGGGCGCCGCCATATTGGACAAACCCGAGGACCCCGCTGCAAACCAATCAAAGCGGAGCATAGGTGTCCGCGGTGCCGCCTGACTAAAAAAATAGTCGGGGTCAGAGAGCTGAAAACTAAGGTATATATTCGTGGTTCTTCCACCTGGACCCTGTCACTCTGCTGTCCTACTTTTCACTTCAATCCCTTTAACATGTCCTCCTGGAACTGGCCCACATGCATGGACCAAAGATGATTGGAACTCGAAGGATCGTTCATCCCAATCCCACCTTCTTACGAAAACTCAATTTAAAAGAGGAGATTCACCACTGCGGAAAAGAGTTCGGATTCACCAGTTCGGATTCATCTGGTCACACCAACCAGATCGTCGGAAAATGAGCCTCTTTTAGTCCTTCCCATTTTCCCGGGACCACATTAAGAAAATAAACAGTAGGAAGGGTCAACAAACCAGAGTCACTGCCGGTAGTGTGGGTGGGTAAGGGGTGGAAATGATTAGATGTCTTAAGAATATTAGCAAATGGAAAATATGTTAATTTTTCAAGTTATCCTGACAGACGCTCCAAAAGCCACCAAGACCGGGGCCACTGGGCCCGGAGTCCAATTCTGTCTGGGTAAAAGCATAAATTCGTTGAAAACACTTAGAACAGTATATTGAAGTACTCGCTAATCTGGATGACGTACTTCAGGGTCTTACAGCTCACAAAACTCCATCCTCTTCCACTTTTCCTCTAGACTGATAAGGGAAACGGCCTCCACTCCACAGGAGCTGGCCTCAAACCGGGCTCGAATCGCGGGCCCGCGGCCAGCGTCCGGGCTCGTCGCGCACGTACCACACGCCCCGTGCGTCACGCACGCACGCAGGCCGGCTCCGCCCCCACGCGCCGCCGCGGCCTTCCCACCCGGCGCTCGGTGACATTGAGCGCGCTAGCGCCGCCGCTGCCGCGAGAGGTGCTGTGCAGTCGGCGGAGCAGGCGGCCATGGGGAGCCTCCGCAGCCTTCGCCTAGCGGCGGGTGAGACGCAGGGCGGCCTGGGGGCGGGAGGAGGCCGGGCCGCTGCGGCCAGGGAATCCTGCGGCCTCGCAGGCCCTGGAGTTGCTTGGTTCCGCCGCCTACTCTCCGCGAGTGGCTCAGAGGGCCTTGGTGGCAGTAGCGGGAGAGAGCTGGGGCAGAGCGAGCAGCTGCTAAGCAGACTCTGGGAGCTGGCCCGGTACCCTTGCACCTGGCTCTCCATTGCCCAACTGCCGCCGATGTCAGGGGCTCTAACTGCCTCCCTCCTCACCTCCTCGTCCCTTGCTTCCCCTGAGCTCGGTCCTGTGTGCATCTGATGTTTTCCACCGCAACTTTCCCGATCCGTTACCGTATTTCTACTCCCTTCTCCTTGCCGCCTCACCTAAAGAGTTTATCTCACCTCTCAGAAAAGCCTAGGTCTGAGGTTTTTCCACTGTGTACGTGTCTGAAGAGGGGAGGGAGTTAATTAAGTACTTCGAAAGAAAGTGTCACTAAAGTGGAGGATCACCAGTTTGTTTTTTGCAATAGACATTTGCGTAGGGTATTTTGGAGTCGGGTCATTTGCCACCTTGGGGAAAACCATTAGAGCCTTCGAGTAGTAGGGAGTGAGTAGTCGGTGCTTGCATCTCTTCTCTTGTAGATGCCCGAGCAATTTACTCTTCTTGTTACCTTTATGAGCTTTGAAGAGATGTAGTGATCTTTTGTTTCATAGTACCAAATTATTTTAAAAGTTCAGTTTAAGTTTTTTAGAATTATTTATTTATTTATTTAGTGGTACTGGGGGTTGAACGCAGGGCCTCGTACATGTTAGGCAAGCACTCGACCCCTGAGGTACATTCCCAGCCTCAGTTTAAACTTTAAAGGAAGAATATTCCTAAAAATGGCTATTGACATAATGCAGGTGTACATTATAAATATAAATGAAGCAATGCAAAAAACTTGTGAACGTTGAGTGGTTTAACATAGCCAAAAGGAGGGGCAGGGGCTACGTTTTCTGTGAATTTATCTTATGTTTCAGTGGAGATCGGACTGCAAAATGTATCTCAAACTAGAGGGTATTCTTTTAATCACGAACATCCTCTCTGCCAAAAAAGAAAAGCCTCGATACTATTACTGACTTCCTTTGATTTTTGTCAGAACTAATTCATCTCTAAATCATTTGTGTACATCCTATTAAGCTTTATAACCGGGAAAATGAAAGAATAATTGCTCTGTAAAAAGGTTAAAACAAACTGTGAAAGCAAATTGGACTGCTTGGAATTAAGACTTTGTAAGTAGTTACTCTGTGTGCCTTGAGACTGTACTTACGCATCATGGAAATTCCCAAGCCCCTCTGCAGACTGTGGATACTTTAGAACTTCACTGTTGGGCACTTAACCAAGATGAAATTCACTGAGCAATTTATTGTTTTACTTCAGATAAAAAAAAAAAAAAAATGTTCTTTTGTTTTTTTTAAAGACAGGGTCTCTGTATGTAGCCCAGGCTGGCCTTGAACTCATGGCGATCCTCTTGCCTCAGCCCCCTGAGAGCTGGGATTACAGGCTTGTCTGGCATGATGGGCCAGTTAGAAAACGTTTAATATACTAATTTTTATGCATACTAAGAATGTTACGTGCAGCTGGGCATGGTGGCACACGCCTATAATGCCAGCATTCTGGGAGGAGGAGGCAAGAGGATGCAGGTTGGAGCCCAGCCTGGACAACTTGTGAAACCCTGTCTCAAAATTTAAAAGAGGGGGGGGAAAAAAAAAGAAAGAATCTTACTTAACCAGCTCTGAATGATCTGTGAATGTCTTGACATTTTGGGAGCAAGTAAAATTCTGAGTCTTCTTTCTTGAAAAGCCACTTGCACATGAATGCATGTTTCTATTTCCTAAATAAATCTCTATTTCATGACCTCCACTCACATAAGACCCACCTGACTATGACAATTAATTACACACACCTGTTCTCATGAGCAGCTTCAAAAACGGCAGAGAGCACAGGTTCTAGAAGTGGAGGGCACTGTTGCTCTCCTTGGCTCTCACACTTTCTAATGAAATGATCCTGGACAAGTCATTTAGGCTCTGACCTACCTGTCTTCATTTATAAAAAGGGGACAGTAATACTTACCTGAGAGGGCTGGCGTGAGAAACTGAATAAAATAACATGTGCAAGCATTCAGGTGTAAAATAGGCAAAAGGAAAACAAATTTCTGCAAGAAAGAAGACTCATTTAATATGCAACCTAAATCAAAGGAATAATACTCAAATAATATAATCTAAGCATACTTATCTAGAATATTATTTGGAATAAGGTATTTTTGGTGAATGAAAATTTTCCCACACTTTTTTTTGAGACAGGGTCTTGCTGTGTACTTCAGCCTGGCCTTGAAGTCACTATATAACCCATGCTGACCTTCAACTTGTGGCGATCTTACTGCCTTAGCCTCTCGACTGTTGAGATCATAGGCATGTGCCACCAAAATTTAATTCTTTCAGCAGTGGACTTTTAAATTGTTTTCATTGGAAATCTTTGCTGAACTCGCTTAGAAAACAGAATATAGGCTTTCATGAGCTTGAATTTGTTTATTGGTATGTAGGTGTAGTTGTAGGGACAGGTAAGGGGTTGTTAAGTTGCAGTCCTTGGCAGCTGTACAGATGAGACACTGCATACCTCTGAAATTATATGCACATTTTTATGATTGTATGCTTTTTAAGAAAGACGGTCCAAAGTTTTAAACTTAGAGTACTTCATGTTCTTTTCATTAGGAATTAAGCGACTGCTGACTCATACTGCTATGGGTTTCATGATAGTGAAGAATGAGTCTGTTTTGTTTTTACTAAATTTTCAATACTTACCAGTGTCTACTTCATTATAGACAAACAATACACATTTTTTAATGCTATCCAAATTTTATTAAAGATAGGAAAAGAAACAGGTTCTGCAGATGAGTTGGGCCAGTAAAAGTAGGAAAAGAAGTGCACCCCACAGCATGAGTGTGGGCAACCCTGCAAGAGAAAGAACACAGTGGCCAAGCAGAATTCCTCACCTGTTTTCTCCGAAAGTAAAATAAAGTAGATACAGTTTTCATGACGTTGTATCTTTCTATAGGATGATGCTTAGGTCACAAGAAGGGAATGGCTTTAACAGAATGTTTCTTTACACCTTCAGAAAAGTTTCATTGCCCTAAACTCGATTGCTTTATTGGATGTTAAATGAATTTAATATTGCTACCAATGCAGTGGACTATGGGCTGCTTCCTTGTCAATTTAACCCATAGCCCAGAGCACTCAACTCAAGACATACCTTAGAAGTCATGTAGTCCAGTCCCCTGGTTTTAATAGATGAGGTAAATTATGGCCCAAGAATGGAAATGATTTGCTTAGGGTCACATAGGTGCAAGTCAGGACACAACTTGGCTGGGCTACCATTCTTATTCTACCATGTCTTGCCCTGTCATTGTTCTTTGTTTGTTCTTGCTCACCACCCCAAATGTGAACATGCCCATTGTAATTACTGCTATGGTTGGCTTTGCTTATTCAGTCCTCTCTGTGTCTCGCCAAGAGCTTTTTATTGAGTACATATTGTGTGCCCTGTACACTGTGAAAGCTCTGAAGTGAATGAACTATACTACTTCCTCTAGCTAGTGTATTACAGTAAATCAACCTGTATAATACTCCTAGAGAGACTATACTACACAGTATATGTTAAGTTCTAGATTACAGAACTGATTCTAAGTGCTTTTGCAGTGTCCTGGAGCTACCTCCTGTTGATGTATGTATGTCGTAACACTTTCAGAGTTGATAATGTTATATCGGGAGTTTGAACTCTGTAGTGGTGCAGGTTTGGGGCAAACATTATGAATAAATCAAGACTTCTCCCAAGAATCAGTACACTACTGTCTTCAAGAATTCAGAGAGGGCCGAGGTTATAACTCAGTGGCACAGTGCCTGCCTGACAAGCGCAAGATCCTGAGTTTGATTGCCGGTTCCAAAAAAAAAAAGAATAAATCCTCTAATAGGGCAAGATTATCGGCTAAAGGGTCCATTGAAACAGAAGCTGTGGGGCTGACAGGAATTTAAGGTGGGAGCAGTAAGGAGAAAGGATCACCTTGGATTTTGGTCGGGAGGTGGTAGGAGGTAAGGTGTGGCCTCATTAAGAGTTTGAACTGAATGAATTTGGATTTTAAAGAAAGGCTTCAAGCAGGAGAAATCATCAAAAAAAATCTTTGGAAAATTAACAAGACATCTGCATGTAAGAGGGTATACTGCTTCCTGCGAAAATGTTACAGTTCATCCGTGTGTGAGGTGATAAGGGAAATGATAAAGGAATATGTTTAGGAAGTGTCTTAAAGAAATTATTAGTATGAGTTTGGAGACAATGGATAATTTAACATAGTGCCTAAAAACAAGTGTTTGAGTACAGGAGACTACGGAAGAGTTGCCCCATTGTCAGAAATAAGAAAACTGGGAAAAGAATCAGGAGTACTACCAAAGAGTTACAGTTAGTTCAGCAAAGAAGATAGACTATTATGTCACCGGTAGCATTGAGTTATACCAGTATGTGATGAGACCTCTTGGGAAGACCTGAGGATATAGCTAAAGCTAAGGGAGCGATTAGTGTGGGGCTGAGGATTGAAACAGTGGAGGAGTCCTTCCAGAGGAGCACAGATAGTGCCAAGGACTGATCCTTGGAGGCCTGACCTAGTATAGGTTTTGGAAGTGGCAAGAGGACATTAAAGAAGCTAGATCATAGAGATTGGCGGTGAAGCAAGAGAGTGTGGCATACAGCGTAAGGAGGGATTCAGTCCTGGTAGCAGGATAAGACCAGTAAAGTCAAATGGACACAAAGATGAGGAGTGTCATGTGGCCTGATGATAAGAGTAAAAAATATATATGATAAAGAGGTCTCTGATGTCAGAGCAATTTTAGTGAAATAAGTGGGGAACAAAACACTGATGGAATAAAGTATGGGTGGTGAAGGTAGTAGATACATGCCGGTTACTTGGTCATTTGAGTTTCA